TACATTTGTTTCTTCTCAGTTGCCTTCAGCTTAAAATAATTTTTACGCCAAAGTGGCATATTTTGGGGTTCACTTTCAATTACTTGTTTTAAACAACATTGGAGGACCAAATTGAGTTGTCTGTCAATTTACTTCCTGATAAATTCCTATATGATTTTTGGCATATTAAGACTCAGAAGGCATTACATTGCTATAATAACATTCCTTTTATTCTCTTCTAAACTTTTTAATATGAAAAATTTAAACATGGAGATAAGATCATATCTCTCACTTTGATTAAACAATTATTGATATTTTGCTACATTTGCTTTTGTTCTCTCTGTCCATCCATCTACCTAGATAAATTTTTTAAACTTTTGAATGTAAGTTGCAGACATCCTGAAACTTTTTCTCTACATTACATACCCCTCAAAAAAAAAATTAACAATAACCACATATGTCATCTAATATCCATCTTATAATCAAATATCCTTAACTGTCCCTCAAATTTCTTTACTTGCTATTTCCCAATCTAGAATTTAGACAATCAAATCATGCATTTGGCTGTTATAACTTTGTACATTCTTTCCATTTGAAATAGCTCTCCCACCTGTCACGATGACACATTTTAAGAGTGCAGGCCAATTATCTTATAGTAGGTTCTGCATTTTAATTTTTACCACATGGTATTGTTTTACTTGTTACTCTGTCTCTTCACATTTTCTGTAAACTGGAAGTTAGGTCTGGAAGGGCTAGATTAGATTTGGAATAAATATTCTGCCAAGAATTTTTTATAGGGGTTGTTGTGAATATTGTATTACATCACTTCAGAAGACAGTGTCAGGATAACGCTCTATGTTTGTAACGCTAAATTTGATTGTGGTTAAGGTTTTACCTTCCATGTTGCTCCATGTACAAGATTCATCATTCCTTTGTAATTCATTTTTGAAAAATCTTTGGAGTGATACCTTGGAACTGTTTCAATATTGTACCCCATCGCTATTTCACCTAATGTTTTTAGCATCCATTGAAGAGTCTATTATTAGTATTATTTTCTGACCATTCTTAATGTATTTATTTTTTAATTGAGTAGTTTAAAAATTAAATTTAAATAGTATATATAAGACTATCAGCCAAAAGTCCTCCACCCTCTTCTACCCCCTATGGTTAACAGTTTCTCATGTTTCCTTCCTCAAACTTAAGACCTTTAATAAGAATATAAAATCAAGTTATAATGCTAGAGAGGATTAAATAAGTGCCATCATAGAACAGGAATACAGTATATTCAATAAATTTTAATAAGAAATTTCTCTGTTGAGAAAAGAAGAGATTGGTGATAGTGTCCGTGGACAATAGGACTGAGTGAGCATTGAAGTTCAAGGAGAATTCAGATCCCTAAAAGAACTGGAGGGAAGGGCTGGAGATAGCACAAACAAAGGCACATAGTGGTATGCTGGAGTAAGCTCCTATTAGCTTACAAGAGCTGACTGTTAAGTTTTTAAACATTTTGTAAGCCTGGCCAGTGTGACTCAGTGGACTGAGCATCCTCCCATGGACTGAGAGGTCCTGGTTTGATTCCTGGTGAGGGCACATGCCTGGGTTTTGGGGTCAATTCCCTGTAGGGGGTGTGCAGGAGGCAGCTGATCGATGTATCTCTGTCATTGATGTTTCTCTCTCTCTCTCCCTTCCTCTCTCTCTAAAAATCAATAAAAACATATTTGAAAAACAAAGAATTTTATGAGCTGGTTATGTGCAGCCATTATTAAAATTTGTATAAATTTATAATATATTAAAAATAAATAACAAATATTAAAAACTCATTACTTCCTAATTATTTTTACTACATCTTACCATTATCTATGTCTGTCGTATCTGCACCATGGAAGTATATAATGATATGCTATGCACATCTCTTCCCAACTCCATGTTTTGTGACATTATGTCAGTAATTGAAATAGGTCATGGTAAGAGCATTTGCACCACAGAAATATTAGCAAATACTACACACCAGGGCTTGATTTATTGTTTTGTTGATTGTTTAGACTTAAAAGTGATAGAGTGTTAATAGTACAGATTAAACTTAAAAGTGCATTATATCTGTAGCTGTTACATTGTGAATAGCATTTAAAATTGAGTAAATATTCTTCCAGTATTCAAAAACTATTATTGAGTTCAACAAAGAAGTGATCACATAGTATTGAAAAAGTGAACTTTCAATATATGTCTTAGTTGTTTCACATTCATTCTCCTATTATTTAACAAAAATATCAAGCAAAATCATGAAATTACACTGGTTCCTCAATTGCAGCCACATGTTGCTATGGATTCAAGAGTTCAGCAGAAATCAAAAGTATTGTGTGATAATCAATTGATTATTTGGAATTTACAATAGAGGACCTTTTATATTTGAATAATTTTGTAAAAATAGGATTCTTTAAATCAGTAAAACATATCTAATATATCTATATATATCTATATATTGCTATAGATTGAATTGTGTCCCTCCAAAATTTATGTTTTGAAGCCCTAACCTCTAATGTGACTGTTTGGAGATATTAGGCAGTATTTAAGGGTATGTGAGGTCATGAGGGTGGGGCCCTACTTGGATAGGAGTGGATGGCCTCATTTTTTTTTTTTTATCCTCACCCGAGGATATTTTTCCATCTTTTGTTCAGATAGAGTGGGAGGGAGGGAGGAGCAGAGAGAGAGAGAGAGAAACATCGACGTGAAAGGGACACATCGAGGGGTTGCCACCCGCACGACCAACCCAGGCCAGGGACAAACTGCAACCGAGGTATGCACCCTTAGCAGGAACCGAACCCGGGTCTCTCCGGACCACAGGCCGACGCTCTAACCGCTGAGCAAAACCAGCCAGAGCTGTGGTCTCATTTTTTTAAAAATATTTTTTCCTTTATTGATTTTAGAGAGAGAGGAAGGGAGGGGGAGGAAGAGAGAGATAGAAACATTGATGAGAGAGAACATAGATTGGCCACCTCCTGCACATCCCCCACTTGGGATCAGGCCCACAACCTGGGCATGTGCATTGACGGGGAATCGAACTGGCAACCTCTTGATGCATGGGTTGATACTCAACCAATGAGCCACATCGGCTGGGCTGGGTGGCCTTATTAAAGAAGGGAAAAAAGCCCTGGCCAGTTTGGCTCAGCGGTTAGAGCATCAGCCTGTGGTCCACAGAGACCCGGGTTCGGTTCCCGCTAAGGGCATGTACTTTGGCTGCAGTTTGTCCCTGGCCCTGGCTGGTCATGCCTGGTTGTGTCCCTTTCACATCGATGTTTCTCTCTTCTTCTCTCTCCTTCCCGCTCTATCTGAATAAAAAATGGAAAAATGTTCTCGGGTGAGGATAAAAAAAAAAAAAAAAGAAGGGAAAAACAATCTCTCTCTTTCTCTCTTCCCCCATCCCTTTCTTCACACAGGCACCCACCTGGGAAAGGCCATGTAAACACATAGTGAAAAAGCAGCCACCTACAAGAGGCTTCAGAATGAAACCTACCTGCTGGCACCTTGGACTTTCCAGCCTCCAGAACTTTGAGGATTAAAGTTTTGTTGTTTAAGCCACCCAGCCTGTGTTATGGTGTTATGGCAGCCAAGAGTACACACACACACACACACACACACACACGGTAGATATACAAATAATGGTAAGAAATGTCAGAGCGTGATAAGTGTTATAAAAATATGGAATAAATGATATGTGAGGAATGCGGAGGAGGTAGTAATTTACCTTAGCTAGTGGGCTAGGTAATCCAGGCTGAAGATTGGGCAGTGATTTTACAAAAACAGAATTTTGCACAGGTTCAAGAGGGCACCATTTGATTTGTCAGCTTTAGTTGCCTGGCACCTGGGGTGCCCATGGAAAACTATACATCTGAGAGTCAGAGTATTATTATACAGGTCCGTGGTTTTCAAGTGGGGTACCAGCTTTCCTGTGTATCTCTAGTCAGCTTCCTCTCCTGAACCCCTCAGATTTTTTTTCTCAATCCATTGCTCTTCTAACCTTCTCCACAGCTCTTCTCTAGGTCTCAGATGACCTTCCCTCTCCAGTACAACCATAACTAGTCAGTCGCTAAATCTTGGATGGCCTTTTCAAGTCATCTTTCCACTTCTCTTCCCCCACAACATTACTTCCACTTGGAATCTCATCACTTCTTTCCTATATATAATGTCCCCCCAATTAGTCTCTTGGCTTTTAGTGATCATCTTCTATCCGGTTGCCAGAATGATCTAAATCTCACAATGTCACACTTCTGCTTAAAATCGTACCGTGGTTACCTGGATTTCAGGGGTAAGTTCAGATCTTCTCCTTAGCCTGCCTCTCTAGCCCAAATCTTGCACAATCTCCCTTACCGGCACCTTCATTCTGGCCGTACTGAACTAATCACCTGACTCCTGTTGGTTGCTTCAGGCACTTTCTGCTGCTGTCTGGAGTCCCCTCCCCCACGCAGGCAACGTCGCCTTGCCCTTCAGAGCTTAGGCCAGTGTGACCTTTTCCAGAAAACCTTGCCAGACTCCTCCTGACTTAAGTCCCCTCCTATGTGCTCCCTGTGCTTAACTCGGCCTCTGCGGTATGACACAAGCACCGTGGTGATTTCCGTCTACTGGTCTGTGCCTCCTGCAGTCTACGTCACATTCGTCTTGTTACCCTCCGTGCCAAGCTCGGGGCCTGTCACATAGCTGCCTCCTTATGCGCTTGTTGAAAGAATTACTGGAAGTACAACCACAGGCTTAATGAGCCCCTGGCGGAAAAGAGCAAAGACGACGTTGCTGGGCCTTCTACAGGAGGGAGCAGAGACTTCGTGGTCCGGACGTGGCTGCGGACGGAGCTGGAGATGCGACAAAAGGTCCTTCACCGGCCTCGCTTTTCAGCCTCCTGGGCCGACAGGCGCGCAGGCGAGACGAAGCCGAGCCGAGGAAAACTACATTTCCCCGGTGCCCCTCCATCCCCGCCTCCGCCCCGCGGAAGTGAAAGGAGCACTTCCGGTTCCGGCATCACCCGGCGCCGGCGGCGTTAGAGCAGCCCCGTCGGGCCTTGTTCCGCAGTCCCACCTTCGCTCCGGTCTTTCTAGAAACCCAGCTGCGCTCTTGGCGGTGCCCCGCAGGTATTTCCCGGCCGCGACGGGTGTCCCCGGGGGAGCCCGCTGCGCCGGAGCTGGGCAGAGCCTGCCTGTGCGCAGGGTGGCAGTTCCCGCGGGCGCTCCGGGCGGGGTGCGGGCGGGGAAGCCGGTTACCGGGCCGTGGCCCCCGCGCTGACCTTTCTCGTTTCTTTTCTCTTCCCCGTTGCAGCGTCCCAGACGCGCGTGTGTGTCCCCCATGGCGGACACGACCCCGAACGGCCCCCAGGGGGCGGGCGCCGTGGTGAGTGAGTGCGTCGGGTGGTCTGACTTATTTGCGAGTTGGGAAAGAGCAGGAAGGGTTGCCAGGCGGCTGCGAGGCGCCCCAGGAGCTCACTGCTTTCCGGACAGGGGCCAGTGGTCGGTGCGGCCGGGCGCGGGGGGACAGGGGAGGTCGGGACCGAAGGTGTGGAGGCACCCGCACGTTTCTTTTCCGGAAGCGACATCGGGACAGTTGTCTGGCCGGCCTGGAATAGGTGGCCCACACCTGTATGCCGTGGAAGTTGGGCCTTCTTGCCTCTTCCACTTCTCGGTCTCCTAGGGCCCAAGGTTGAAGGTGCCACGTGAGGTTGTGCCATGACACGCCTCATTCTGCACACGCGTGCTGGCAGGAGTGTTTCTGCCCGTTTTATGCCATAATATAGGAACTATGGAAAGGGAGGAGAACGCCCCCTCCCCCTTCCTTTGGTCATTTTGACATTACATCTTCACGAAAAGAAATATTGCGCTTTTGTAAATTTTTTACCCCTAAGATGCAGATCTACAGTTTACTGCTTATTTGTACCCAAAGCATTATTGCCTCTAATTTTAAACACTTAATAATATGTGAGTTTAGTGTTACATTTTTCTTTTTAAACATTTCGCAGCATCTACGTTTATATATACACTTTTTTTTTATCCTCACCCGAGGACATTTTTTTGGTATTCATCTTCAGATAGAGTGGGAGGGAGAGAGAGAGAGAGAGAAACATCTTTGTGAAAGGGACACATCTAGTGGTTGCCACCCACACGACCCAACCAGGGCCGGGAACAAACCGCAACCGAGGTTCGTGCCCTTAGCAGGAACCGAACCCAGGTCTCTCGGGACCGCAGGCCGACTCTCTAACTGCTGAGCCAACCTGGCCAGGGCTATTTTGTAGAACCATTTAAGAGTTAGTTGCATACATCATGATGGTTAATGCATAAATACTTAAGTATTCTACATGACTACAGTGCAGTCATCCCTGCAGTTTTGCAGTTAAATTTAAATTGTACATGTTATAACCTAATATTCATCCCATATTCAGATTTCCTCAATTGTCCTTTAAAGCTGCTTCCTCTTCATTCAGGATTCAATGAAAAGGCCTGCACTGCCTCTTAGTCTTTTTGTAGTAAAGACTGTTCCCTTGTCCTCCTTTTCCCATTTTTGTCTTTCAAGAGTGCAGACCTGTTGTTCTGCAGAATACTCTTCAAATTGGAGTTGTCTGATTTTTTTCCCCCTCTGATGACCAGATTCAGGTTAAACATTTTAGCAGTAATATTGCATAAGTGATATTCCGTCCTCAGTGCATTACATATATTGAGACGTATTTTATGTTGATTTAGCCCATCGTCAGAGATACTGAATTTGATTATCTGGTTAAGGTGGTATCCACCAGATTCTCCATTGTAAAGATACCTATTTTGACTTTGTAATTAAAAAGTAGTCTATGAAATGATACTTTGAGACTGTGTAAATAGTTTTTTATCCGAAGGTCCATTGATATTTTTTGCCTAAACTATTTATAAAATGATTGGGCATTTCACTCTTAAATTTTAAACCAATTCATCTCTTTAAACCTTTTTTGTTGTGTAATAAAATACAAATACATAAAAATGTACAAAATAGAATGCGTAGCTCAATGATTTATCACAAAGTGAACACCCTAAATAAATAGGTTTTAAAGAAAATGTTCTAAAATTAAATTCCAAACAGTGGTGTAGAATCTGAATATTTGTAGAGAAACTGAGCTAGATTCATCCTTTCTCTTGGCTATTGGTGATCATTTAAATCTAAATGAGTTAACAGTATAGTTGGATAGAATGAACTAGAGGCATACTGTTGCGTACTGTTAAAATGACATGCAATAGTCCTGGCTGGTTTGGCCCAGCAGTTAGAGCGTCATCCCATGGACCAATGAGTTGTGGGTTCGATTCCGGTCAAGGGCACGTGTACTTCTGTTGTGGTTGGTCCCTGGCCTGGAAGGGGGTTGTGCCCTGGGCAGGGAGTTGTGCGGGAGGCAACCAGTTGATGTGTCTCTTCACATTGACGTCTCTCTTTCTTCCTCTCTCCCTCCCTCCCACTCTATCTGAAGATAAATAGAAAAATATCCTCAGATGATATTTTTTAAAAAAATATGCAATAAAACATCCTTGAATTTTAAAATATACTTGCATTTTCTATTGTATCTTTTTTCAAAAGATAATTACATTAGATTGCTTAGACTAGTGTTTTAGACTCCAGTTTAAGACCAATTAGTGAGTTTTGAAGTCAGTTTGGTGGAGACACTTAAGTATTTTTAAAACATTTTAAAACATTAACTAGAAAACAAAATACCAAAATCTATCACACATAGTATGGGTAAGTATTGTTTTGTGAAACTTTTGTTTATATATCCACACATGTTTGTGTTGGATCTTGATTTAAATATTATTTATGTACATCTTATCAAAAATGTAAAATCCACTTTAGAATTTGAATATAAGATGATTTTGAATGTAAAAACAGATTTTAAATTGTTGATAATGGGCACATCTCTTGGCAAAAAAAACAGAAAAGGAACAGAGAAAAGGAAAAAATGGAGAAGAAAGTGGTATATGTAAGTTTCATCTAGGGCCACTGAAACCAGGGTAAGACTTGTAGGGGAGCTTCCAAGGAATCAGGAAATTATAAAATGGGAGAGGCAGATGCTGTTTCACACTTGACAGCCATATTTTCTTTATTTTTAATCCTCACCTGAGAAGGGGAGAGAGAGAGAGAGAGAAACATTGATGTGAGAGGGACACATCGATTGGTTGCCTCCCATGACCCCGATGAGGGCTGGAGATGAACCGAAACCAAGTTACGTGTCCTTGGCCAGAATCGAACCGGAGACTCACTGGTCCATGAGCTGACGTTCTACCGCTGAGCCAAACCAGCCAAGGCACAGCCATATTTTGAGCACTTAGAGTATGTTAGGCCGTTCTGTGTTCACAGGCAAATAAATCATCCTTAGACTGAGTTCAGTAATGAGTGTCTGGTTTTTCATTTCTCCTTTGTTTTAAAAAAAAATTTTTTTTTTTCTTTCTATTGATTTTAGAGAGAGAGTAAGGGAGAGAGAGATAGAAACATCGATGAGAGAGAACTGCATGCCCGCCACTGGGGATTTGGCCCTGCCCTGAAATCAAACCAGTGATCTCTTGGTGCTTGGGTCGATGCTCAACCACTGAGCCATACTGGCTGGGCTACATTTCTCCTTTGTAAAGTTTGAACTGGCTTTGTTTTGTATGATAACTTTTTTTTTTTTTTTGAGGTTTTTATTGATTTTTTTAGAGAGGAGGGGAGAGAGAGATGGAAACATCTATGTGAGAGGGAAACATCCATCCGCTGCCTCCTACATGCCCCCCACTGGGAATCGAGCCTGAAACCCAGGCATGTACCCTGACCAGGAATCAAACCAGGACCTCTTAGTCTACTCGATGACACTTAATCCACTGAGCCACACTGGCCGGGTTGTATGATACCTTTTTATTCAGATCTGAGACATACCCATTTCAATTTGAGGTTTTTGTAAGAATAGGCATTATGGTTCTCTTGAGAGAAGTTAGTTCTTATTTAACATTTTTTAAAATATTTATATATTTAAAATATGTTTTTAATGATTTTTAAGAGAGAGAGGAAGGAAGAGAGAGAACCATCAATCAGTAGGGGGCCTCCTGCACACCCCCTACTGGGGATCAGTCTGTAGCCCTGACTAGGAATTGAACCAGACTTCTCAGTTCATAGGACTATGCTCAATTCACTGAGCCACACTGGCTGGGCTTAACATTCTTTTAAAATAGATGAAGCCAGTCTGGCTGATGTGGCTCAGTGGTTGAGCATCGACCCATGCACCAAGAGGTCACCACTTGGATTCTCAGTCAGGGCACATGGCCAGGTTGTGGGCCCAATCCCCAGTAGGGGACATACAGGAGGCGGCCAATCAGTGTTCTCTCTTATTGATGTTTCTATCTCTCCCTTCCTCTCTCTCTAAAATGAATAGAGAAAAATAAAATAAAATAGATGAAGCCAGTATTAGAAGTGTAGAAGGAACACAGACAGGTGTAGCTAAATTTCTATTCAAATTTTTCTTTCCTCGTCTTTTTATTTTTTTATTTTATTTTTTTTTATTTTTTCTATCCTCACCCGAGGATATTTTTCCATTTTTTTGTACAGATAGAGAGGGAGGGAGAGAGAGGAAGGGAGAGAGAGTGAGAAACATCGACGTGAACGGACACATCGAGTGGCTGCCACCCGCACGACCAACCAGGGCCGGGGACAAACTGCAACCGAAGTACGTGCCCTTAGCGGGAACCGAACCCGGGTCTCTCCGGACCGCAGGCCGACGCTCTAACCGCTGAGCCAAACTGGCCAGGGCGTCTTTTTATTTTTTTAAATGTCAACTAGTATTTTCCTACTTTCTGTACTTTCCACATCAAAACTAAGGCGTGCTGGGTGGGTGTGGCTCAGTGTATTGTCCCATGCACCAAGAGGTCTCTGGTTCGGTTCCTACTCAGGGCACATGGCCAGGTTTTAGGGTTCATCCCTAGGAGGAGTCATGCAAGAGGCAGCTGATGGATGTTTCTCTCTCATCAATGTTTCTGTCTCTTCCTCTCTCTAAAAAAACATTTAAAAAAAACCTGTAAGGTGTTTAGACTTATTAGGTGAAATGATTGCTTTTTGTTTGTTTGTTTATTGATTTTTCTTTTGGTACATGGCCCTATTGGGAACTGAACCCGGGACTCTCTGGTCCACAGGCCAACGCTCCAGCCACTGAGCCAAACCGGCCAGGGCTCGCTATTTATTTATTTATTTATCCAGAGAGGAAGGGGGGAGAGAGAGAGAGAAACATCCATGAGAGAGAACATCAATTGGCTGCCTCCTGCATGCCCCCCACTGGGGATCTGGCCAACAACCTGGGCATGTGCCCTGACTGGGAATTTAATGGAACTGAACCAGGGACCTCTTGGTACATGAGTTAACACTCAACCACTGAGCCACACCGGCCAGGCTGAAATGATTGCCTTTAAAGTTTCCACTTAATGATCTTAAAAAAACAATTGTATTGTTACAGAATTTTTAAAACATTTTGAATAGGAATAAAACTACATAATCTTCATCCTTAAAAACATAATTTGCAGACTTAATTTAACTACAGTGTTTTTCTTTTTAAATTCAGCAATTCATGATGACCAATAAACTGGACACCGCAATGTGGCTTTCTCGCCTGTTCACAGTGTACTGCTCTGCTTTGTTTGTTCTGCCTCTCCTTGGGTATGTATTATATCTGTTTCTGCCTTTGTTATTCAGTTGTTCAGTCAGTTTTTATGGAATTTCTTGCAGGTGCAAGACTTGTTAAACTTCAAGGGGACAAATAAAACACAAGTCTTGTCTCTAAGGCACTAATAACCTAGTATTACTAACTGGAGGAATATTTTATCTTGTGTGCTTTGTGGAAACTAACATCACATTGAAATCTGGGAGAAAATGGATGTGTGGAAATGAGTTCGTATTTTTTGCATTTTTGCCTTTTTAACTTAGGAAGAACGAGTGCTTTGTAAAATTCAGTTAGGTGTGTATATATATATGAAGTGATGCTTCTAAGAAGGTACAATAGGTTCTAGTAATTTTTTTCTATTTATAATTAATAGATTTAGGTGTTGTGTAATTATGATGCAATTCACAAAGGAGGAAGAGGCATGGTAGTTGTTTATGTCTCATGATAACCTCTCCTCTGGTAATTTGCAGGTTGCATGAAGCAGCAAGCTTTTACCAACGTGCTTTGCTGGCAAATGCTCTTACCAGTGCTCTGAGGCTGCACCAAAGATTACCGCACTTCCAGTTAAGCAGAGCATTCCTGGCCCAAGCTTTGTTAGAGGACAGCTGCCACTACCTGCTGTATTCACTCATCTTTGTCAATTCCTACCCTGTTACAAGTATCCTTTTGTACCTTTTTGAACAATGAAATTGCCCAGTGCTATGGATAGAGTAGAAAATAAGGTCATGTGGATTATCTCTGTAGCCAATGAGAATTAAATAACTCATTTGAAATTTGTGTGTTTACACATTTCAAAAGGATGGTAATAGGTATTCTTAAAAAATGAAGGGGAGGGGTGGAGGAGGGGTGTGCTTTTTAGTATTTTGGGGAAACACTAGGTAAACAGATAGGTTTCTTTACTGTAGGGCCTTTGATATGCTAATGTACATTGTGAAACTAAAAGTTACTAGTGTTTTCTAAACTTAATTGTTTTGTTATTTTCCTCCTCTGGGTCATCCCTCAGGAATGTGTTTTGTGCTTTGAGAAGTGCTGCTCTTAAGAGTTCTTGAATAGTTACCCTACAACTATATATACTGAAAGCACAATAAAATATATCTTTAAGACTATATATTACCTTTTTAGATATTTAGTCTTAAAGAAAAGAGAATAGGAGGAAAGTGACATTTTTTGAGCACCTATTTTGCCAGTATAGACCAATTTGACATATTAGTACTTGCAACACTGAAAAAAATTACTGAACTCATTTTAGCAGATGCCATTTCAGATGTGTATATTTGCAAAGTACTTGATGAATTTTAAATGTTCTCCTTAATTGTTTTCTTCAGTGAGTATATTCCCAGTCTTGTTATTCTCTTTGCTTCATGCTGCCACATACACAAAAAAGGTCCTTGATGTAAGTAAAACCATGCAGGGTTGATTTTGTTTACTCCCGGAGTACAGCTAGTTAACATGAATTTGAGCTCTAAGACATTTTGGCTTTTGTCACAGAAAGCTTCTCTAAGCCTTATAAACTTGTCCTAAATTATGTAGTGATTTGAAAGTTTTAAGTTTGCAATATTTTATTTACATTTCACAATACAGTATATTTTGTAGATAAACTATTGTATTTAAAATTACCTGCCAGTTGCCTGAGAGATTTCTGAAATTTGAAGTCGATTTCTTCATTATTTAAAGGAATCAAATCTTTTTTAAAAAAAATATCCTCAGGTGAGGATTTTTTTAAAATTAATTAATTAATTTATTTTTGGTACGTGCCCCTAGTGGGAACCGAACCTGGGACTCTCTGGTCCACAGGCTGATGCTCCAACCTCTGAGCCAAATCAGCCAGGGCAAATCTTTTAGGTTTGCTAAGATATCAGAGATCTTTTGTTCTGTCAGTATTTAATTCTAACATATCAGGTAAGTGGAGTGTACTGAATTTCTTTTACTCTAATGTTCATAACTGTTCCTTCCCTAAAATTTCTTATTCTTGGGTTGGAACATTATACCTAATGTAAATGTGCCAGGCAGATTGATTGCGTATGTACTGAAATTTGAATTAAAATATCCAAATTTGCCTTGTATTGACAATTTTCTTTGTCCTTGTAGTTCTTTGGTCACAGCAGTTATTTGACTTGGTAATTTCTATCTTTAGTTATCTAAGGAGTCACAGATTCTTTAACTATAATACTGGATAGGCAAGTTCTGTTATGGTTGGGGAGAAAAACCACCATTTTTTGTAAAATAATCTAATCTTAAGAAAAATGAAAAAGACTTGTATTAAAGTTGTTTTTAAATCTTCAAATACGCAAAATATAAAGCAGGGAAATATACTAACTTTTGTCCTTTAATAGTTTATATACTTTATATCATCATTTTCAAATAATTGTCTTGTGTGTATGGCCTGTTGAATATGCTGTTTATCTAAAGAAAATAATTGAGTGATCAGAAATGCTTTGTTATTTCTAATGTTTGCTTTTTTATGTTTTAGGCAAAGGGTTCAAATAGTTTACCTCTGCTGAGATCCATCTTGGATAAATTAAGCGCTAATCAACAGAATATTCTGAAATTCATTGCTTGTAATGAAATACTCTTGATGCCTGCCACAGTTTTTATGCTTTTTAGGTAAGACTGAAAATACATTTGTTTTGGGAGGCTGATGACTAAGTAACTGTAATATATTAACTCAAATTTTCTCCTGTTTAAATCTGTTAAGTAGATACTGATATGTAGGGCTAGATGGGTCTTAGCAATTGTCTTTTCACTTTATGGGCCCAGCACGCTTCCGCTGCGCCACTCTGCTTGTCTTTTCACTTTATAGTGGAGAACCTGAGACCTTACAATAAACCTCGGAACATGTCTTATCATTCTTTGTGATTTATCATTTAACCTTTGGAAAGGTTCTTGGGAATTCTAGTTTAGTTCATTCTGTTATTGAGATTATTTTTCTTACACTAGAGAAAAACCTGAAAAATTACGATCTGGTATCAGTTGTTGCCTATCACCACCTCCTTAGTTTGTTTGTATCTTAATTATAGAAGTAATGCCAAAAAAGAAAAAGAAATAATGCATGAATAAAGCAAGCCTTCCTTTTAAAAATTAAGAAAGGTAAAGTATCAACCACTTCACCAGTATTCTTATATTTAAGTTTTAAAACTACATTTCTGTCAGGAGTGTTGCCTTTTCAGTTTTTAGTTTCACAAATATTAAGACACTGTAGATAAAAGCTAAAATATCATTTGAGTAAGAATTCTAGTAGCAGTTCTGTCCTCCCCTTCCCAAAGGTAGGAGTTTGATAATGTGTGCATGTATGTTGTTCTTTAAAAATGCTTATGCAGATAGGTAGAAAATACATATTATTACATTGTGGGTGTGAGGTTTTGTTTGTGTAGTTTTTATTTTACATCAAAAGTATGATAATGCATCAGTTATCTGCATCTCTTGCTTTTTCCACTCATACAGTATGTTTTTGTGACCTATTTACGTTGATGTTCAGGGTTCTGTTTGTTTCATTTAGTGGCTTGGCTGTATAGTGTTCCATCATGTTACTCTGCTACATTTTTTACATATTCCCCTGTTGATAGACATTTGTTTCCAAATATTTACTTTTCCAAATACTGATGCAGTAAACATGTTTTTACTTGTCTGCTTATACTTTTCTCTCAGTGTTATCTCTAACACAGGTACCTGAATTGAATTTGCTGAGTCTAAGCTAGGTACATTTTATATTTAGTAGACCATGGTTTATGAGATATTTTAATGTTAGCCCTAGCTGGTGTGGCTCAGTTGGTTGGGGGATGTCCCACGCACCAAAAGGTTGCTGGTTTGATTCCAATCAGGGCACATACCTGGGTTTCGGGCTCGATCCCCAGTAGGGGGTGATTGATGTTTCTCATAAATATTTCTCTTTTTCTTTCCCTCTCCCTTCCTCTCTAAGAAATCAATTAAAAAATATATTTAAATAAATAAATAGAAATATTTTAATGTTCATTGCCTAAGGTTTTTATGTACCTGACAATTTCTCCTTTTTTTAGCATTATCTTTATGAAGAAATCTGTAAAACTATTACTACCTTGAAAAAAGGCATCTATTCAATTCTTTTAAGTAATTTTTCCCCTGAAAAATCTAGGATCACCACATATTGCTTAAGTTGTGGGGTCCAAACTAGATAATATAACCTAAATAAACTTCTGGAATGATATAATGGATTTAGATATAATAGATATTACTATGACTATTTGATGAATGAAGACTCATTCTCCAGTTAAATTGCCTTTAAGTTTTGAGAGTATTTATATGAATTAACGATGTGTATTTATTACCTTTGTATTTGTTTCTCTTAGTGGTCAAGGAAGTTTGCTCCAGCCTTTTATATATTATAGATTTCTTACTCTCCGATATTCCTCTCGAAGAAATCCGTATTGTCGGTAAGCTGGTGATTAGTTAAAATCTGTTTTCTTTGTTAAGAGTATTATAAAATATAGTATTTATAACTTTCAAATTATTTCACTTTTAGTTAGAATTTAGAGGCAAGCAGTAGTTTTGTACATTTAAGTTCTAGGCCTTAGAACTATCTAGGGTTGGTGAGGAGGTGGTTGTATTCTTTTCAAAAACAGCAACTGGCTTTGGCAGGTGTGGCTCATTGGTTGGGTGTTGTCCCATGCACCAAAAGGTTGCTGGTTAGATCCCTGGTAGGGGGTGTACAGGAAGCAGCTGATCAATGTTTCACTCTCACATCAATGTTTCTCTCTCTTTTTCCCTCTCCCTTCCTCTCTAAAAAAATCAATAAAAATATTTAAAATAACCAAAAAACTGAGACGAGTTATCTTGACCACTACTATAAAATAATACTAAAGTTTAAGGAATTTAAGATATGTAAGACATAACTCCCATTTTCTTTCTTTTTTATCCTCACCCGAGGACATTTTTTCTTTTCTTTTTTTTTTCAGATAGAGTGGGAGGGAGAGAAAGGAAGGGAGAGAGAGAGAGAAACATCAATGTGAAAGGGACACATAGAGTGGCTGCCATCTGCACGACCCAACTGGGGCCGGGGACAAACTGCAACCGAGGTACGCGCCTTAGCGGGAACCAAACCCGGGTCTCTCTGGACCACAGGCCGACGCTCTAACCGCTGAGCAAAACTGGCCAGGGCATAAATCCCACTCTTAAAGAACTTTCCTAGTTGAACCAATAAAACACGTGTCAAATAATAAAAGAGAGAAACAAATAATAGTTCAGGATACAATTTTTACAAATCAATTTTTTGTCATAAGTTTACTTTATCATATCAGTACTATAGTCCACAGGAGGTTGAAATCATTGAGCTAGAAGATAGAAGAGTTCAGGAAAGTTTCATAAAATTTAGATTTCAGTTTGTCCTGGAAGGAGTAAAACGTTTGAATAGACAGTGAGAATGTCTGAAAGCATTTTAGGTAGGAAGATGGGAGTTTAAGTTCAGAGGTGAACAAGGTACAAGCCATGTTTAAGGGGCATTGAGTAGACCTTTTTGACTATTAATAAACGTTCTGAATGGTGGATGGTTGGAGCGATGATTAAAATGGTATATTGGAGCCATATAAAATTTCCTGAGTTTCAGGGTAGGAAATGTAGTATTTTACCTTCTAGATATATGGGAACGATGATTTTGACATGACCTTAATCTTCAGGTAACCTTGTGCAGAATAGTTTGGAATGAAAAACTAAAGAAGAAAATTATTTTAGTGACTTACTACAGTGTTCAGGAACAGAGGTTTAAATTATTTTACAGTAAATTATGCGTGCTTATCTCAAAAGTTAGATTAAAACTAAAATGATCCCTGGGTGGTTGCCCAGTGATTAGAGCATCAGCCTGTGGAGCAAAGGGTTGGAGGTTCGATCCCTAGGGTGGGAGTCGTGCAGGAGGCAGCCAATTGATGTGTCTCTCACGTGGATGTTTCTCTCTCTCTCCCCCCCCCTTCCTTCTCTTCCACTCTAGCTAAAAATCAAAGGCAAAATACCCCCTAGTGAGGATTAACAAAACAAAAAAAACTGAATGAATAGCTGTTTTTTTTTTGTTTTGTTTTTGTTTTGTTTTTTTTTTTAGAGAGAGAAAGGGAGAGAGAGAAACATCAATGTGAGAGGGATACATGGATCAACTGTCTCCTGTAAGCCCCCTACTGGGGATCAAGCCTGCAACCTGATCATGTGCCTCGACCGGGAATTAAACTGGGACCTCTCAGTCCATAGGACAATGCTCAATCCACTAAGCCACACTGCCCGGGCAAATAGCTGTTTTTAACAGCCTCTTAAATGTGTTATTCAGATAGCAACTTTAACATAGTTTTTGTTTTCAAGTTTAAAATGAATGCATCATGTAGAATTCAGCCAGAAATCTAGTGAGTACCTTAACATGATCTTCATTGTATTTTCGTGTGCAAAGTAAAAAGAACTCAGTTTGAACCGTGGCCCATCATTTGCCCCATGTGTGACCTTAGACAAGTTATTTACATTATTTTTTTTTCTCCCTCAATCGAGCACATTTTCCATTTTTTTTGTTCAGATAGAGTGGGAGGGAGAGAGAGGAAGAGAGAGAGAGAAACATCACGTGAAAGGGACACATCAAGTGGCTGTCTCCTGCACGACCCAACCAGGGCAGGGGACAAACTGCAACCGAGGTATGTGTCCTTAGCGGGAACTGAACCCGGGTCCCTCTGGACCACAGGCCGACGCTCAAACCACTGAGCCAAACTGGCCAGGGTGTTATTTACATTTTTATTTCTTCATTGCTAGAGGAGAAAACTTTGGGTGAAATGAAGTAATGTTTTAAAAAGTGCTTACATTCTGTTAGGTTCTTTATAGTTTGTTTTCTTTATTTCTGTGATTCTGATTCTACTTTGAATGGTTTTTATGCTTCCTTATACAGTGTTTTTACAGTATATCCTAAAATAGTTTACTTACTTTAGTTATAGGTTCTTAAAGAATCCCTAGTTGTAAATAAACCTTTAATTTTACTTGATTACATGAGTTTTTTGCCTTTTTTCTTTCTGATCCATGTATTTATTTAAGATATTTTCTGGTCCCCTACCATCCATTTTTCATCAATAGATTTATTTTTTTTTTTTCTCTGCTTTTTTTTTTTTTTTTTTAATCCTCACCCGAGGACATTTATCCATTTTTTTGTTCAGACAGAGTGGGAGGGAGGGAAGGAGAGAAACATCGACGTGAAACGGACACATTGAGTGGCCGCCACCCGCACGACCAACCAGGGCCGGGGACAAACTGCAACTGAGGCACGTACCCCCAGCGGGAACCAAACCCGGGTCTCTCCGGTCCGTGGGCCGACGCTCCAACCGCTGAGCCAAATCGGCCAGGGTTTTTCTCTGCTTCTTTATACCCTCTTTTCCACCTATATTTTTTCCACATACCCTTAAATAAGATCAAGACAAATACAAATTTAGAAGTGTTTAGTGAAATAAAAAGAAAAGATAGAAGTGGATCAAGATAACACAAATATGGCTTTACAGGATAGGAGAGGGTCTCATCTCCCCCAGTTTGTGGCAGTGAGGTTCTTGAGGTACTGCTGGACTAAACATTTCCAGAGGCCCCCACAGGAGAATGAGATATGGTAGAAAGCTTTATTTTTGTGGAATTACACCCCTGGGTTTCGAAAGTCCCATTTCCCTTAGTTCAGTTATAGAAGAAGTATAGTTGGGGCTTCAGTAGAGCTAAAATCAGAGCCAGTGTCCAGAGTTTCCTTTCCACGTTGGAGCTGGGTCCAGTCCAGCATCAGGCGAGCTTAGCTTGGGTTTCCCCGTTGTGGTCCATCAGAACATTGCGTATGAGGTTGCATGGCCATGGGCGATAGGGGAGAGTGCCAGAGCGCCAAGCGTCAAGCTCAGCACTCCAAGAGCCGAAGAGAGAATTTCTTTGTTTAGGGGATTATGTGCTCCCATATGTTCTTGTGGTAGTGTTGGCCACACCCATCTCTGTCCCCAGGTTTGACTGGCAGGCACCTTCTCTAGTCACCCCAACTTTACAGGACATGTGTCTCTTTGTTGGATCCCTTCCCCCAATGTTTCGCAGGGAATAGGCCAGTGTTTCCTGAAGAGTATGAAATGACAGCTTCCTGGTGAAGCTGCCCAAATGACATGCCTATAATATCTGGCCTTCCCCTTGCTCCTTTCCTATTATTAATAACTAGGTAATTACAACGATATCTATCTTATGTCCTAATAAATGTCTTCAAAGACTCACACCAACACACATCTTAACCAAAACAGTGGAAAGGTAATGAAAAACATAAAAGCTTATAGATAGTTAATATATAGGCTACGAAACTACGTTTTCTACACTTTGTTTTGTTATGGGTTTTGAGACAGTCTGTATCACCACTTTGTACCATTTTCACCTAGTTAGTGGTGTCAGTACTTTGTAAATGTCTAGTGTAGATTGTCCAGAATTATGCTGTCTAATATGGTAGCCACTAGCCACATTTGACCATTTAAATTAAAATTCATGAAATTTAAAACTCAGTTTCTGAATCATACTAACCACATTTCAAGTGCTCAAAAGCAGTGTGTGGCTGATGGACATTGTATTGACAGCCAAGACAGACATTTGGTCGTGGCTCTCCAGGGTAACTCTGTGACTTGGTCTAGATTATGTCAAGGATAGAGCCTAGAATAAAGGAACTACCCTTGTGACTTTGGGCTAGCCTCTTTATGCCACATCTGTAACCTGAGGGGATTTGACTAGAGTATTTTCCGGGTGCCTTCTAGCTGTATTCATCACTCATTTATTCAGAAGACAGGGATTGCTGATACGTTTTGTAGTACTGAAATACCTGCTTTCCGGGGACTTAAAGCTGAGTGAATTAGACAGCTGTGTGAGGCAGCGCGATGATGAAGGTGCTGCTGTGAGAGTGCAGAGATCAAGGGGGCAGGTGAGAATCCACTGAGGCCGTGCGAATCTGAGCCACGTCCTTTGAAGTCTGAGTTCTGGCACGTGGTGCCTGAAAGGGCTTGGCATAGCAGCAGTACCTGTTGCTCGAACTGAAAGAAGTGGGTAGGAAAATAACGAAGGTCTGTGCCAAGAAAGGTGGACAGAGTAGATGGTGAACGTTTGATTCTTATTTCAAGGTAGAAAGAGCATTTGAAGTTTCATGATGTGGAGGGGTTAGGAATGTGATGAACTGATTTAGAAATATTCTAGAAGATGGATTGCAGCTCACCAAGAGGAGAAAACAGTAGATCAGTTCGGAGACTGTTAGAGTAGTCCAGAGCCTGAACTAATTCACTGGTAAAGGAAAAAGGAGATAAATGTGAAAGATATTTAGAAGGGTAGGGAACTTAGGGCCTGGGGAAGAAGAATGAGACAAAGACCTCCAAGTTTCAAGCCTGGGAACCTAAGAGAGTTGTGGGTAATGGGCTGTCACAAAGATTGGAGATGCAAGAAGAAGGCCAGGTTTTGGGATAAACGTGCATATTTCCAAATTTCCTGTCTTTGTTTGAGCGCATATTACATCCTTTTTTTATTTTTTCCCCAGAGAGAGAAGAAAAAAAAACATCCATCATTTGCCTCCCATACACACCCAGATCAGGGATTGAATTCACAACCTTTTGGTGAATGCTTTTGTTAAATGAACTTTTCTCCCCAAAAAGACAGGTGTTGATTAGAGAATTTTATTTTGTGTTTTCCAGGGAAAATTGTTAGCAGTGCATTCTAGTTATTTCTTTACTTCCTAAAATTCTTTAAAGGCTGTGTAAATTCCTTTATTGGCATTTGCTTTGCATCATGTTGCATTTTTTCTTGTGTTTCTGAAAGAAAACTATTTTATCTTGCAGGACCTTGTTTAATGAATTGAGGATTATTGTTGAACATATAATAATGAAGCCTGCTTGCCCATTGTTTGTGAGAAGACTTTGTCTCCAGAGCATTGCCTTTATAAGCAGATTGGCACCAACAGTTGCGTAGTTTAATATTCAGCTAAGTTATATATAATATAAATAAGCATCATTAGCAGCTGGTACTTCTGCTGGGGGTTGTGAATTCCAGGTGTGAAACTGACCTCAATCCAATTTACATAATTTACATAAATGCATCTGAATGGAAAAATACTTTCCTGGCATGTTAAATCAAGCCTTTATAAAAAGTTTCCAAGAAAATTCTACTGTGTTGTGTTGTTAATGGTTAAGGAAGTTTGTATTTTGTAATAAATGCATCACTTTTTTTTAGATGCTGCTGTGCCTTTATCATGTACATGTATTTCTCTTGTGAAAATAGTGCTAAAATTTATTTTAACCTAATTGGTAACCTGAATTTTTTAATATCTGGCATGAGTTTGTTATGGTAATATTTACATATGTGAATACAGTATATTTTGAGATAGTATTCTTTTGCCGTTTATGAATTTTGGTTGATGATTTTAACAGAAGCACCTCCCGGTATATTTGGTTTCAAGTTGTTATTAAGTTGGTTTTGTGCCGCTTTGTCAGGACAGATTTATTTTGGATGAGTTCTATATGTGTCTTACGCCATGGCCTTCCAAAATTTTATTTCCATAATTACTTCTGTGGATTTGAATATTGTTTAAAAAGGCTCAACTGTAAGCTTGTTAGCCAATTGGGTAAATATTTGGGGGTCACCTAACCATTTTACATCAGAAAGCAGTAGTACTTTCAGAGACCCATTGAGGAACATTTCTCAGACAGGAAATCCTTCTTTACAGTGTGGATATATAGGTTATTAGTAATATCATAGTTTGTAGAATTACCTAGATCAGATTCTTGACAACCAATTTTCTTGGTTTCTTAGGCTTGAATTTCCATGGACAATTGCAGCAGTTCAGGTACCTTTTGAAAAGAATGTAACTGAAGATTGATCATATGACTCTACTTAGTATCTGTTCTAAAATAATAATGAAGACTATCCTGTAGACTATATACCCATCAAATCTGATTTAAAGGTTAAATGGAAAGGTTTATAGGTAAGGTAATTGACTGGGAATGGTGCCTGAGGAGGCATTTTGGAGGAATAGTGTACATTTCAGTTTCATACTGGATAAATGCATTTGGGGGGAATTGGATGTATTATGCAACTGTGATTTGAATATGTTAAATCCTATTTGTTGAGCTTCTATCAGCTCTGTAAATTCATTTTGATCTTTATTGTTACATGATTAGAAATGTTTAAAATGCTGCAAAAATTTTAGTGCAGAGTAATGGTTTTTGTAACCAATTTTCTTGTCTGCATGTAAGTAACTTATTAGTAACATCAGTTCTTTTTGTTCAACTTTCAGATCTATAGAAATGTGGTATCTACTTGATAGCTCAACCATAACCAGCTCTTTTTTGTAATATTTTTCTACTAAGTTAGAGAAGCAGCCTCATAATATACAGTTGATTTTGTGTCTGTATGTGTGACTAGCCTCAGTATCACTATATATGTAATTTGATGATTTCAAGAACTAAATTTTCTAGAGCAATAAAGTGACTATAATGTTAAGTAAACAATATATTATTGATTTCTAATGATCTTTTTTTTTTTTGTGGTATGTGCCCCTAGCGGGAACTGAACCCGGGACTCTCTGGTCCGCAGGCCGACGCTCAGCCGCTGAGCCAAACCGGCCAGGGCTGATCTTTTAAAAATTATGTCTTGAATTATATCAAGAAATTTTAGCAATGAAGGCATATTTATTTTTAAGTTGCTAGTTTGCTTTCTTTTACAATTTTTTAAATCTTGAGATAATTTTAGATTTATAGAGAGTTGCAAAAATAATAAGAGTTCCTGTAGACCCTTTACTCAACTTCCCCTTATGTTAGCATCTTATATAACCATCTATACAGCATTTACTGTGAAATTAACCCTGGAATAATATTGTTAAGTAAATTATAAAACCTATTCAGAGTTAACCAGCTTTTACATTTGTTAATATTTTTTTTGTGTGCTGTTTTTACCATGATCATTGTTTACTTATTTTTAATTTTTTTAATCCTCCCCCGAGGACGTTCTTCCATTGATTTTTAGAGAGAGTGGAAGGGAGGGAGGGAGAGAGAGAGAAACATCAATATGAGAGACACGCATCAGTTGGTTGCCTCCTAAACAACCCAACCAGGGCTGGGAATGGAACCTGCAACCAGGTTCGAACCCAAGACCCTTTGGCCTGAGGGCTGACGCTCTAACCTCTGAGCAAAACTGGCTAGAGCTCATTATTTTCTTTTAATGACCTATAAGTATGCCTCTGTTTTCAATTTTTCTTGAGGTTATTACAGATGTTCCCCATTTTTCCCCTCTTTGCCCCCAAGTTTTTCTTTTGAAAATTACTGTTGGTAAGAAAGATTTTCCTAAGGAAAAGAATACCTGTTGGTTTTAACAAAAAGAATTTAGACCTTTTTGAACATTTAGACCTTTGAGGCTATCTATCAAAAACAGGGTTATATTTTTGACATGCTCATGTTTGACTGTTCTTTAAGGAAGGCTTGATTTATAAATAAAATATTTCTACATTCATGAAAAGTAAATTTTACAATTTGAACATTACTAGATGTTTAATTTGCATAAACTTGTGGTCAGAAATTCTGTGATGAAAATTTACAACCAGCTGATAAAGCATCTGAAATTATAGTGTAAGGTATACCTGTAAAATTATAATTAAGGAAATACAACAGCACTATCATTTAGAATGAATGCAGTAGGAAAAATAGTAGCATAGCTGAACTTATTTTTACTTAAGGTTTAAAAAATTTTTTTACTTAACATCCAGAATATCTAATTTTTTAGGAGAATGGTATAGTGCTGTTGTTCTTCTAGCACTTTTAGATATTACACCCTCTCGGACAGGTAGAAGTCTCATGAAAAACCTACTTCATCTAGCAACGAATCAACATTCCTTTTCTATACTTGGTTCCTCATGAATTTAGACCGTATTTAACATCATTCCAAAACAGTTTGTACTTAAATTTACTTGGGATAAAATTCACCAAGGAAGATGCTCTTAGAAGTAAGCAAGAATGCAACTAGCTTTTTAAAACAATTATTTTATTTTTTCCATCACCATTTACCCCCTGCTATGCCCTCTTTCACTTCTGTCCACCCCACCCCCACCCCCTTTTTTAAAAATGTAGATATTTAGGAACCTCCCTTTCAAGGAAAATCAAGGCATGTTAATATTAGACCAGAAGTTATGAAAGTTTTATGAGATCTTGTATAACTAAAACTTATAAAATTGTCAGAATATTTCTTTTCCTCCTAAACGTCAGGTTCACAAATTCAGATTAGGCTTGTAAGTTTAGGGCAAAAATATTATTCATCCTGAAAAAGAAAATGAGTATATATGTAATAAGGCAAGTAGAACTGATTGTTTTTTTAAATTAAATGCTAAGGAATTTGTTTTGATTAATATAGTTATTCTAAAGCTTTTTCCCTGCCCAAATCCCCTTAAGATCTGTTAGCATAAAAGCTGTTACCCAGATATAGACTAATTTTGCTACCTATTCTGTCCATTACCTCAGGGGATCAAGTAACCATGGACAGGTATGTTTATGATCAGTAGGTGGCGCTCTTTCCTCAAGTAGCCCCCCTCCCGCCCCCCAACCAGTTTCAATGTTGGAAGGTTAAAAGCCACTAAAAGAACTGAGTCAGCCATAAAACTAAGAACCTTAATTCCACGACCTTTTGAAATAGCTAATTACTCAATATTCAACAGATATTTAGCAAGTATTGATTCTGAGTACATTATAAAAATATTGAAATGTTTAAAAGCTAGGAGTATCCTGTTTTTTAGGTAAACAGTAAAATAGGCCACAATTGTGAGTGGCATTATTCAGATCACGGTCTCTCTCTTTTTAAAATTTCATTGTAAGTTCTGTGTCACCTAAACACATCAATTATAAAATTGTTCTTTCTCCTTCATTATCAAGTATGTAGAAAAATGGTAAAGTTTTTTCATGGTCATTTTGTAGGTACACAAGGTATAGGCACTTCAACCTCTAAAAATTTAAAGTTTCATAGAAATATAAACATATATTGAAATTCTGAATATTATATCAGGAATGGTACCTAGACTTGTAAATTCACTTTGAGTTTCAGAGAGAACTAGTTTCTCTTAACACCACATTGGTAATCTCTCTAGGATTAGGGGAATTCTACAGAGGCTTTATGATAGCAGAGCTCAACAGATAGTATACCAAAAGTATATGTTTATATATCCAGGGGTTATTTCCAGAGATTATTTAAATGAGCAGTCCTCTTATAATATTCTGGGTGGGAAGTTGTTATAGGATCTGAAATTAGGATAAGAAAGGAGCTGCTAAAATTTTGGGAGGTAACTTGACTTAGGGTGGCGAAGACAGTACAATATACAGATGATGTGTTGTAGACTTGTACACTTGAAACCTGTTTAATTTTATTAACCAATGTCACCCAATAAATTTAATTTTAAAAATTGGGGGATATTTCCTGTTAGTAATTATTCTACATGTTTACCTGTAAGGTGACATTCAAGTGGGTTCTTAAAAAGGAACATAATCCCGTGTGAGGGATTAACTTTAGAGTAGTCTTTCTTTTTTTGTGTAGTGTAAATGGGAAAACTGACTTGTATTGACTTTTTGTTTTTTTTTTATCCTCACCCGAGGACATTTTTTCAGTTTTTTGTTCAGATAGAGCGGGAGGGAGAGAGAGGAAGAGAGAAACATCGATGTGAAAGGGACACATCGAGTGGTCACCACCGCACCACCCAACCAGGGCTGGGGACAAACTGCAACCGAGGTACATGCCCTTAGCGGGAACCGAACCCAGGTCTCTCTGTACCTCAGGCCCACGCTCTAACCGCTGAGCCAAACCGGCCAGGGCTTGTATTGACTTTTAGTTGATGTGAGGAGAATAAAGTACAGTATTTTTAAAACTCTAAAGTAGGTTATTTTTTCTTAGAAAGTGATAGTAAAAAATTATTGATGGTTATCTGCTGGAATCGAAAAATTAGCTCCTATTCCAGGAGAAAAAGGCCCCAAAATCATTTCACTTTTTCCTTCCTAGCCTTCTGACACTACTTTTTTTGATGTGCTTGGTATTTTTAAGGTTTTTTTTTTTCTTGCTTCATGACAGTTTAATTCCAAACGTTGACTATTTTTTTTTGTAACTTTAAAACAATTGTTTTTGACATGAGTTTTTGCTTACATGTATAAGTTGAGACCAAATGGCAAAATCTTGAGCAGGTAACATTTGTGATGTGTTATATATATTGGAACAAATGTAAAAGAGTCGCAAAGATTAGAGTCATAAAAAACTGCTTGATTTATAAATGCATTACTTCTGGTGCTCTATATAATGGGATATATTGAACTAAAAAATTTGTATATATAGTATGTCAGCATTTCTTAGTAACTTCTCTTGAATCCATTTTTAATATCTAATATTGTACAGGTTGGGGAGTTATACTTTCCAGGCCAATACTATCCAGACTGTATAAATTTATAAAATAAATTGAAAAATTCATCATTCCCCTGTATTCAAGACCAAAGCACATAAATGCTAATGTAGGGCTCAGAAGGGAAATATATTTCTCCTGAATATTTGAGAAAATGTGAAGTCCTTTCAAGAAAATCTAATAAACATAATAATCATAGCCTGCTGACACTAAGGAAAAAGGACCTCATTTGCTCTTTCTTTTATGCAGCGATTTACTGGTCCCTACTGATTTCCAAATTGGATCACTGTAGTAAATTATCTATGCTGGTACCTGTGAAAGTAAGCCCTGGGATCCATATTTGTTTTGTGTTCTGCTTAAATCAGCAAGAATGATAAATTTGATGGTGAGAAATTGGAAGTGTCAAGGGCTTTCTTTGGTGATTGAGCAAAATAATGTCTCCACTTGTAATTTATTGTGCCCCTTCTTCACCGTATGTGCTTTGTATATCTAATATTTATTTCAGTGCAAATTAAATTGTTTTTCCTTCATCTGTATTGTTATATCTAAGATTTTATTGGTGTAAAAATCAAATTGTGTAATAAAAACCTCTCTGGATATAAGGAGATTTGAAAATGTTATGTTGCAGAAAACATTTAGTTAGAATTTAGCTTGCCATTATGCTTCATTGTTTTATTGTTAGAATAAGGTGAATTTGAACACTTCTGTCCTCAGTTCATCACAAATAATAGAAATGGTATGATTTTGTGGTCTACTATGAAACTGGAAAAATAATGGCCTAAGGTGAAACTGGAAAAAAAAATTATAGTGGATCTCTCAGCTGCGTGCCTGCTTCCTTCTGTATTTTTTTCATTTAATGAAATTTACAGCAAGTGTATGAGTTATTTATAACCCTAAAATGATTCACAATAAACAATGTATCCAAAGTCATAAGTAAGCACAGGCGACACAGAGGAATGTATTTCCCTTCTAATGTTTATAGTTGGCATATATTTATTTTCTATAGCTATTTTTAACAACTTGTACTAAGCAAAATACAGTATAAGGAAGTTACACAAATCCTTGTCTGTTTAGAGATTAAAATCTAAAGCATTATGGAAAGCTTATGTAAAGACCATTCTGATAGTTGAGTAAATACTGAATTAGTAAATGAATTGCCCACGTAAGAAGAAAAGCGTATTCGGAGAGTTGATTTACTAAAGATTTAATGGTGTAGAGTCTTAGGGACTTATACATTGTTGATTCATATGCTCTTTCCTTTAGCATATGGGAATATATGGAACTGTTTTATAAAATAATTCTGTACTTTGGGAAGAAAAGGGTCATCTCATTCCTCAAGGCTGGTTGAATGGAGACATCCCTCAAGAAGTGGTCACCTGAGATCCTTGAGAGTTGTCAGTCTAAGCAGGCAATTTGTCAACAAACTGCTTTTAAATATTTATTATGGTGAGTTATGAACTTACATA